CCCAATTCAATAACTTTAATAATCTAAATACCAATATAAAATAAGCGATAAATCTAAGTAAAACAAATATCACTTACTATCTAGAACTTCGACATATTTAATACGTTGACTGGGTTAAACACAGGTCAAACTTCAAAATTTCGACAAGATTTCTGTAATATAAGTGGAATATCAGGTGTTTATAAAGCTGGCAGCTACTCAATATTTGGTGCGTATTGCTACCTATCAGATAGATATTGCATTTGATAATTATATTAGAGATCTAACATTTCTATTAACAAAATATTCAAATATCTGATATTTTATAATATAAGTATTAGATATCTAATAGGCTATTGGATGCAATATCTATCCGATATATTGCAATACGCGCCAAATATCAGGTCGCTATCGGCTTTATAAATGTTCGATATTCTGCTAATATTTATTGAAATTTTAAAGTTTGACCTGTAAAAAAATATATATATATAAATATACTAAACTACAGGTTGAATTCAATCTGAGAAATAAAAATTTTTACAATTAATAACATATTACTGTACTAACTTTTTAAAAAATATAAGTGCTATTACCTGGTTTAGGAAGTTTTGAAATATTCAAAAATCGACTTGTATAAATAGCTTGTAGATGCGTCTAATATTTAAATTATGTTGATTTGACTTGATTATATGTTAAGAAATTTTTGTCTAGACTTTTAATATTTTTAAATCTAGAAAAAAAAATCATTCAACATATTAGTTAATCCTCTAGCAGTTGGTCAGTGTTGAGGCTCTGTGTCTAAGCATTTATTCATCAGATCCAAAAGTAATTGAGGAGCTTCGCATCTAATTTTTGGCCTATAACCAAGACAAAAAGGTGTTGCTAGATCTCCATTATATGGAATATCATAATATGGAGGATATCCAGTAAAAACTTCTAATATAATTATTCTGAAAAAATAAATATCTGATTTTTGAGTGTATTCCTTTCCGTTTGTATATAGTACTTCTGAAGCAATATATGGAAGTACACCAAAAGTCCTTTTGAATTTGAGTCTTGTGATACTGGCTTATATAAACCAAAATCAGTAATGTAAGTTAATAAATTATAGATATAAAATTATAGATTAACTAATAATTTTAAATGTTTATATTGTTATCCATATACCTAGGCTATATCTAGATTGAAACATAATATGAGAATATAAAATATGTGGAACATTCAAATCAATTTGTCTTTTATATTGGTAATGTTAATAGCATTTTAATAATTAGAATATTAATCATAGGTACTAATTGGCAACCCGGTGAGCCACACTTTAGTTTAAAATAGTATAGCTATAAATAGATATCTCATTTTTTTAATGTAAATTCTATGATATAAAATAAAGTTGTGACATGATCGTTAAAAAAAAAAAGATTAGAATATTAATGTAAGATAAGCAATAAATTTAATAGATTGTAAAAAATTTTTTGGAATCATAAAACCTAATAATTTACCTTATATGTATGCTGTAAATTATCATCATATTCTGATTCAGTATTACCGTTTGTAACTAAAAAATACCTATATATAAAAATATATATAAAATAAATCAATATTAGTTAAAAGCTAACCATGTTATAATTATAATTAATTACCAAACAGGATGCTTTCAAGAATCAGGGATCCCTTTATAAACCCGTCTATAAAACTAGTAAGAATAATAAATAATAATGATAAAAGTAATGATGAAAATATTCTAGTATAAATGAAGGATAATAGGATAAAACATTTTACTTGCATAACTAAATATCTTTTTATTCCATGAAAAGATATAACTACTACAGCCAAATTTTCCAGATTTTTTAACGAATTTATTTGAAGATATCCATAAAGCCCATTTTAGTGAATAATCAAGATAATAATTATGTATAGTAATAGATAACCTTAATTTATGAAACAATAAAAGAGAGGTGGAGCTATATTTTGATTAACTATATTGCTGGAATTGGGCTTTGTGAATTGCATTAAGCTATTAGCTATGTAATATAAGTTTGCTACTTTAGAAGCCCAATCTAATTCATCATATTTACTATTTAACAATTTTTCAAAACTTCTTTGCTTTGTGTACTTCATAACCATCCTGTAATTACTATCTTTTGGGTTCTTGGTTATTCTATAAATCACAATTGCAGAATCGCTCCATAGTTATGTTGATTTTTAAATAAGATTATTACATTATAAACAACATTTTGAATATAGACTAGGTGAAGTATTATCACGCTATTAGTTGCTTGGGTTAATAAAAAAGATGTTAGTTTGGAAGCAAAAAAAAAGTTTAACACTAATTAACTTATTCGGTATATACTGTATTACCGTATTACCATATTACTTGCCTAAACTTTCCTCTTAAATAAAGTTTTTAGAAATACTAATCTATACTGATCTTTTTTCCCAGAAGACGTACAAAGAGTTAAAGAACACTATAATATGTTCTAAAAAAAAATTATTATACGAAACTATGAGTTGCTAATTGACGATGTGATCTTTAATAGTAAGGGTTACTTTAAAATTTTTTTTTATATTGTATAACTCAGTGATTTTCAAGCCAATCAAATCAAATATTCGCTATACTTTAGTTAACTAATTTTATTAATTAGTAATCTACCAGTCAACTAGAGAGTGATCATAGTAAAATGTGACTCAAATTACTTAAAAAATTAGGGGTCTCCAAATATGGCATGTGTGCATTTAAACCTTTTTTTTATACTAAGTTAATCACTTTTTTAACTTAAGAGACTTTTGTAAAGCTTGTCAAGACACATCTAATAGTAGTTAAAGTATCAAAATCAGCTTGGTGAGTGCTAAAATATCTTTAAAAAACCTTTTTTTATTATGTAAACTTCTTTGCAAACAATAGTATTGTTTGCAAAAAAGTTTACATAGTAAAAGAAAAAAATTTTAAAGATATCTCAGCATCTACCAAGCTGATTTTAATGCTTTAACCACTATTAGATACATTTTAACAAGCTCTACAAAAGTTTTTTAAGTTAGAAAGATTATAAAAAAAGTTTTAGATACATGCATGCTATATTTGAAGACCTCTAATTTTTAAAAGTAATTTGAGTCACATTTTATTATGGTTACTCTCTAGTTGACTAGTAGATTACTAATTAAATTATGTACCTGATAAATTTGTTACTGAATCTTATTATTTTTGTAATCTATAACTGACTTAATAAAAAAATGAAAATTAGAATTTTTATAATAAAGTACAAAAATTTGAAATAAAAAAATTATATTTTTAATTTGTTTAATTCCAAATTCTTCTTGTTTAGCTAAATACACCTGGATCACATTCACAGTTGAAATTTCCACCAGCCCTAAAAAGTAAAATTAATAAATTTAAAATTAATCATATTGTTTAAATTAAAATTGCTAATTCAAATTATATATATTTTTAATATTTGAGCAGTTAAAAGTAGAAACAAAAGAATTATTATACAAAAATAACTTAAATACTATTTAATGCCTTTTTTTCATTATAATAGTTCTAATACCATCTCTGTAGTGAAATCAAAGATTGTATTTTTCATTAGAACTATTATCTTCAATTGATTTTAAATACTACTTAGACACTTTATAAATTACCCTTTCAACAGATTCTAAATATTATCCTGGTATCTTTATATAATTTGTACTTTTTGTTTGACTTATTCTGTATCATATTTACATTTAAAAACAATTATTATCTACAAACTTTAAAAACTACACTGTAACTTTTTACATTGTCCACAAGAATTATCACCTTCAGCAAATCTTAAACCACTCAAATGCTTTCTTTTATCTTTGTAGTATATATTTCTTTGAATCCAAAATTAAATTGTTCAAAACTAGTATTACAAATTTTTAAAGTAGCATTGTAATATCTTATTTCATCATAGTACTTTTTCATAATTGAATTCAAGATTCCATCACCCATAAACATTGCCATGTTTCATAGATTCAAAATTTTTAAATTTCATTATCTACATTTTTTTCATAGCCAAATTCCAAATTATTTTGTCTATAAAAAGCTATCTTTTTTTGGGTCTACTAAAATGCACCTATGGTGTTCAACACCATAGGTCCCTATTTCTCAAAAATGTACTAAGTAAACGGGATTGAGTACTCTAAGTAAAAATGTTCAGGACTCTCAAAAACCTCACAAGAACTGAGATCAGGCCCTATCAGGCCCTTATAGTAGCTCTATATATATTATATAAAAAAAACAATAATTCTCTAATTTCTAACCCTAACCCTAAATTTTACTAAAAACAATTATATATGGTGTTGAACACCATAGGTGCATTTTATATTAACTGATCTTTTTTAGTAGATTTTAGATAATATTCAAATATTGTCTTTCATCTTTAGTGATATTTATAAGATGACAATAGCAGGATCCATGATTATATTCTTTATTGAAATTACTATCTTTAGCAATTTTAAAAAATAAAGTTTTTACTTTTGGCTGTTTATTTGATCCAATTAACAAAATAGCTATGATAATATGTTTTATACATTTTTTTTCAATTCAAAGTTATTAAATTAAAATTAACTTACTAACTAAACTTCTTGTTTTATCATTTAATCATTTAAGTCTTGCTCTCATTTTTTATTGATTTTGGTATAAAATACCAGAGCGAGCAGACTTATTTAAGAAGAGATATAATATAAAGCTGCTATATCTATTACTTGAGGTAAATGTAGAAGAACCTACAACTCTTCTCTTCATTCTTTGGCTAGTATAGGCTTCATGGCAATAACATTGTTAATCAATACAAAAAGTTCAAACATTTCATTTACAACTCCAATGTCAATATTTATCTCTGCACTAAGATTTCAAGATTGCAAGTAAAACCAAGTATTATGGCTAATTGTAAATGCCTATCAGAGAAGCTGTTATCTTCTTTGATCTAAAAAAGAATAAATGTGATTTAAAAAAATGAAAAATGAAAAATGAAAAATATTAAGGAGTCTTAGAATTTTAATTTCATTGATTGATCTACTAATATATCATTTTCATTAATTCTAAAACAGAGCTAAAATGACATATAGTATATGGTAGCTATTTACTATACCGCTACTTATTGTTTAAAGTATTGTTTTTTAATACATTAAATTTATGAGTAATAAAATCTTAATCAAAAATAACACTTATTGAATGGTTGGTATTTACTATGTATCATTTTAAAAACCTCTTATTAGATATTAAATAAAAATATATAACAGCCTTCTACAAAAATTTGGAACTAATAAACCCAATATAAATAAACAATGTTAATTATAATCTTTACTTCAGTTAATGCATCAAGTTTATTCCAATTATTAACTTCTGTCACTGCTACAGATATAAAAATACTTTTATTTTCTTGTAAACTCTTGACCTTTTGTAAATTAGTAGATTTAATTTCATTTTCTATTTCAAGATCCTTTTTATCTTTAGAAATAGTTGTAAGGCCACAAATTTGAGTATTTATCATCATCCCAAGAACATCTTTAGCTAATGTGGTAGCTTGTTTATAAGTATAGTGGATTGCTACTCTAATCTTATCATTTGAAGACCAATTTAGTAATACTTCTAAGTTTTTTGCAACACTCAAATCCAAATAATGCAAAATATAATTAAAAAAATAAGATTGTTTTTTAACTTTTAATTATGATTTTATAATAAATAAAACTTATAATATACTGACTAACACCAGACATTTTTTCTCTTTCTAATCTGAGAAAACCCGAGAAATACACTTTGTATATATATGCAATCTTGGGCACCAATATGACTAAGTTATTAAATAAAAATTTGAGAAAAAGCTAATAAGCCAATCCAAAAAATATTTGCATCCTTCTGAACTATATATTTATAGTAAAAAAGATATTGTGAGTAGTAATCTTGGTAGGCAATTGCTAAAAGAATCTCAAATAAAAAAATTATACAATAATTAGATTATTGCTAATAATTTAGATATAAAAAAACTAGATTTTATATCATAGATTCAGAAAAACTTGTTAAAATATTAAATGTTGCTAAAGCTATAAAATTTTTTTTAATACTCATAAATTCTGAATAATTCTGTATACAAACTTGAATATGATTTTTCTAATGACTTAAAAAAAAGAATCTCAACATGACTATTTTGTATCTTTCAAGTAGTAAAATTTTATGATTTATTATTATTATTATTTTTTTTTGGTATTAAGGTGACCTCTTTGGTCTGGGGAACTTTTTATTAGAGTATAGACGAAGTTTTATATATAAT